GGTTTGGGGGGGGGGGGGGGGGGGGGGGGTTAGGCGACAAGAACAACGCAGGTTCGCAGCTGGTTCAAACCGGGGTGCTCACGAATATTTGCGGCTCACGCTTCCGGCCCAGAACGTAGACGTCACGACACAGAGAAACGACCAGCAGCAGCTGTCAAGCACGAGTGCAGGATTCAAAAAAGAAGTAACGCAGGGAAGTGAACACAAGGAGAGGTCTCCAACCCCGCTCCGCCGTATAAAAGGTCAGGAAAACACTATTCTAGCGGCTATCGTTGTGCTTCTTCGGTGTAGCACCGGGTCGTACATCTCCAGACGAGCGGAGGCAAGACCGGCACGGTAGGTCGATACCGTGGGGCGGTGAGTCACAGATGGAAACTATGGCCTACAGACATGGCGCTCTCGAAACTCGCACGTGTCCCACAAACATTATTTGCCTTTCTTTTGCTGAGCGAAACAGTTGGAATCTACCGGAGTCCACAGGGTCGCAATCTTCCGCCAGGTAACTTCCTGAGGGCGGATAGTCCCTCTTGCAGAAGTGTCTGGGGACTGCAATGCTTGCGCAAGCAAGGTCCCACCTCTCTTGACAGCTTACGTCTTGCCTTCATTCTCTTTGTCAATTCGAACATGAAATACGCAGCAACATCGCGCGATTGTGGACCACGCCTTTCAAGCCTCCGTCAAGGCAACTGCAGCCAACGCAGCAACAACATTATTACACATGGGCTAATCGAGGAGAGACAGGGCGTGGGTCATCCGCGACAGTCTATTCGAGAACAACGTCGCACAGCATCGCTTCCTCGACGCCCTAACCTGAAATACATCGGGTTCCGTGCACCCCCGTCTCCTGCGAGCCCTGTCATCATGAGGGCACAACATGAGGATGACAAAGGGTATACTAGGGGTGGGGGTTTCACTGCATTGCGCAAGCGGACCAACGCGCGGCGATCGTCACGCAATGACCCGCCCGGCACCTAAGCAAGCTTGGACTAGCACAATGTGCCACAATCGGGCAGTAAGTAGGAACTCGACGTTGCCGTTTTCGACTCACATCCCTCCGCCAAGACGTTGTAGGCTCTCACGTCTATTTGCAGCTCGTGTAGGTCATGAAGGTGTGGACATCATGACTGCCTTAATGGTCTTGTACTCGATGTTATTTCTTCATTTTTTTGTCTACGCTTGCGTTGGTGCGGGGAGATTGCGTGACGATCGTCGCCCGCTTGTCCGGGTACTTTAGTTGCACAAACCAGCGGTAACGCACGCCCTAGAACACCTCGAAGTCGTCCTCGCGTCGTGCCGCATGATGACAGTCCTTGCAAGAGACGAGCGCGCGCAGAACCCGACGTACTGGTTTAGTTCGACTTGTTGCTGGTGCGTGGAGAGATTGATCATGTGGGGCGTTGTGCCCGAACGGGCCGTCGCGGTTGACCTGTGCTCTGGCGTGTCGTCGCTTGACCCATGTTGCTTGGATGTTCGGTGTCGGTATCGGGGTCTTGGCGAGATTCTCTCGAGACGTCGGCCGGAAGGACGGCGGCAGGCGCCGGTTTCATGAAGGCGACCTTGCTTGGGCTGGTGGTGCGTGCCGTAGGCGGGTGGTAAACGCGACAAGCAGGGCTGTCGTCACTCCTTCCCGCGCACTAACTTGGAGGTTTAGGTGTGCCCTTCGACGTGAAGGAGGGCGAGAGAGCCGATGGTGCGCAGGAAATAATTACCCGCTTGCTTGTCGACCATGCGGAAGTTTGGTGTTCCCCATTTAGCGCCTCTACTTAGCGGCTTGTGCGGTACATGACATATGCAGAGCACTGATGTAGCTGTTACTCCCCTCGGAAGATGCTTCAGAAGGTTGGCGTCGTTCGTAATGCTGCTTGTCGCGTTCGGATGTATGCCAATGTGTGGCGGCATGTCTATTAGTCTCGAAAGTCGCTGCGGGCACATTCTCCCCCATTGTTCGAAAGTAGACGCGGCAGCCGTAGTCCAAGCGGGATATCCAGGTCATTTAATCTGACGAGGGTAGAACAGAAAAGGCGTCACTCATCCTGTTGATGAAGCAGATCGCCATGGAGCCGACCGTGAGACCAGTGAAGAATGTCATGTAGTTGATCCCCGATCGCACGTGGCGTGACGGGTCCAAGAAGATTGGTGCCGACGAGCTCAAAACGTTCAGTGATGCCGTCCTTCTTGGAGATCTTCCGATGATATTGTTGAACGCGTCTATTGATTTTGCACGTGCTGACGCCGAAAACAAACCGGACATGCTTACTCCGCTCTCCTTGATGCGTGACAATAGGTTAAGCACTTGTATATTTGATGTCCCGAGGCTTTGGTGCTACAGCTACAGTAAGTGCTGGCCGTGAGGCAGAAGCAGCTGTAGCAAACGGCCACCACCGGGTGCTGCAGTTGAAACTACCGCCATATATGTAGCCAACACGTCCTGGCGGCATCGCCGTAGTTGTTGCACCCGTAGGTGGAGACGTCGCTGGGGAATACCCGATAGTGGGTATTTCCGGCGGAAGATATAGATGCAAGAAAGTGTTGAAAACCCGTGCTGCGTAGCGATGCTGTCTCGTGCAATAGCCAACCGAGATGGGTAAAGCGTGTCTGTAGGACGGTCCAGACGTCTGGGTACCGGGTTCCATTCGAATGAAGTACTCCGAAAACACGACAGGTGTTTCCACAGAGATTGCATAGGTGCCACCCCCGAGACCCGGTACGATGGCGGAAAGAAGGACGGAATGTTGGATAGGCACATTTTTCGATACCTTGAAGTTCCACTGCTGGCGATGTGGATGACCAGCGGGGACTTGATTCTCTTGTACTCAACCATTGAGTGATTCACCTCCGGAAGTATCCCGTTGTCGATGAATTGGTTGGTTGGTTGGAGGTGTCAATGCTCGTGGTCATTTCGAAGCGGGTGGGAGTAAGTGGTACTGGTTTTGACGTCGGTCCCAGCGACGATGAAGGAAAAGTAATGCCCGCAGGGTGACTGCTGAGGACGGTGTGGTTGTCAGATGCTGGCGTAGAACGTTTAGTAGCGTTGGAAATGTTTCCATCTCGGTGGGAGGTGGCGGAAACTGCCGAGCTAGGGTGTCCTTGACGGTCGTAGGTATTGTTCTGGTAGCGACGCCCACCGTGACCGCGACCGTTGATGTAACGGTTACAGTGTTAGCGCTGCATGCGATGGGCGCGACGCCCGCCTCTTGTTGCCGCGTTGATGCTCTTGTTGCGCACACAACAAGTAGAATAGTCGAGCGGAGACGTTTGGTGAGGGGTGCACCAATCGCCCTTGTTACCACCCGATCTGTTGCCCGCTGGTTCATTTTGGCGTTCAAAGCGTGGTGAAAGCCAGTGTTGAACTCATGGCCCTCTTCTCGCAGAAGGTGCAGAAATTTGTTGACGGTGCTGGCATAGCCAATGTACGGCCCTTCGCGACGCGCGAAAGCCGGTCATGGGCGATAGGAATAGCGCGCATGTTACCAATTTCCAGGTCGAACGTGTCGTTTGACTCGGCAAGGGTAGCTTGAATCGAGTGTACCTCTCCGGCAGTTGCACTAAGGGCATGTCCAGAAGTTCGTCATGATCGATGGTCTGCCCCGTGCCGTGCAGTCTATCACGTACGGCGAACAACTCGCTGCATAACACATCTGTCAATTTCTTCGTCATCATCCTCCACTCATGTCTTGAAGGAGTTTTGTGCTTCTTGGCAAGATCGTTCCAAACGCCAATACCGATGGGGAAATACCGTTTCTTGGACTTGAACTTCGGTGAGAATCTTGTGGCAGGCCCAGCAGCGCCGAGATTCAGGAATGTCAAGACCATTCTGTGGCCCAGTGCCAATCGCGACTGTCGGCAGAGGTTGATGATGCCAACCTCCGTTTCCCTCGGGATAGTTGTTGAAACGCCGTGGGTTGGCGTTGAATATGAAGACGTGGTATCAAGACCACGCTGCTGCTGACCAGGCAGGTCTTGTTACTGACGAGCCAGGGCGTCATCATCAACCGATGGCGCGGATCTCTCCGGCCGCTGACGATGCTCCGGATGTGACTTCGCGAGTGTGTACACGGGTGCCGCTTGGGTCGTGTGTAGATTGACGACCGCGTTGTTGACGATATACATATTCTGGACAGGGACGTCCATCCAGTTTACCTGGATAGCCTACGCTAATGACGGGTTTCGCTTTATGGAACCAGACATCAAGTATTGTCCCGTTGAATTTGCTGCCGGCATCTTTCAGTAGCCCTTCGACGGATGATAGCTCCGTAGATTACGGGAAAAAGCGTCACATCACAGTAATGTATCGCTGCCGGGGTTTCACAGCTCCAGTTGTAGAACGTGCGGGAGGATATATTTCTTCAGCCGTTCTTTAGCTGCGTGCGTTAATCATAACTCCAGCCCAAACATCGCATGCTCACAACGAACCACTATTATCAGGAGGGAAAGGAGGCCCTCTGCTGCCCCCGTCTTCGAAATCCCCCGTCCCCGGTCTGGCTCAACGCCACCGCCAACATCTATTCAGTAGATGTCCCTGTATAGTGCCGGTGTGTTCCCAGAAAATACACCGTCACTATACCGGACCGGCATTATTCAAAGTATTGAGAATGGCGTGGGAACTTGGACACTCTGCGTGTGCCCGCCGAAAACATCGGCCGTGTACCGGGCATCGGCACCATTCAACCGGCACTAATCAGGGGCATAAACTGTACCTCGAGGCAGGTGGTGTTCCCGAAGTAGTAGCAGGGGATGACCTCGCTGCCCGTCTGCATCGCCAGCTTGATGAAACCCTTGCGCTTTCCCACGTATAGCCGCTCCTCCGCCGGGTTAGACAGGAACAGCTCCTGCGTGACGGGGGAATCGGTTGTACGATGACCACAGAAATTTGTCAATTTCGAAGGTAACATAAAAAAAACAAAATAAAACAAGAACAAAACCCTTGCAAATTACTTCACCAAGGACAAAAAGGCATCTTAAAAAGGGTCGCAGGCTACTTATTGACACAGAAACGGCGCAACGGCCCCAACTGCCGGCGGCCGTCGACACGCAGAGAGCAAAGCTCGTCATGCAAAGGCGATCGGGGCTGCGGTAGGAGGTGACGTTGGCGAACGGCGGCGGTGGCAACAGGGTATTCTCCCATCTGTTGGTGTCCCAGCCAAAAACACCTCCTTAGACTATGCATATGCAAATCGAAACGCCCACGAAACACGTACGAGCTTTCGTGTGCATGTTCCGAAACAAGGGCGACCCACATACCGGGGTAACCTGGATGTTTCCCAAATTAGCCACACCGGCATATGATTACAGGCGGGGGGCGGTACAAAAGCAGCAGCTTGGGGGGGCGCAGACGAATACACCCATTTACATACAGCAGCGGTAGTGCTCTATACCATAGGCACATCATACACTCACCGCTATGCCGCCGACGTAGAGAACGACGCTCGTCCGGCGGAGGGCCGACTTCAAGCTGCGGCTCGACGCCCCGACCAGCCCGAAGACCCCGAAGACGTGCTTCATGATGGGTATCCGCCGGATCACGTCCGCTGTGCAGGTCGGCGGCGTCGGTCGCGGCGCCTGCCACGGTGGTGGTGGTGGTGATGGCGATGTTGATCATGGGAAACATTATGTGTGTGAGAGTGAGTGGTTCTTCAGTCGGATCATCGACCACCTGCCAACCGGCTGACCAATGAAAAACGCCAGTCTTGCAGTCGTCGACAGCGCCTCAGAAGGTGCCGCCACCTAGTATAAGAATCTCCTGTTTTGCGCGAGGCTCGTTACTCTCTCCTCTGTGGCGTAAACCGACAGCGCATGGATGCTTGGTAGGTTGTTGTATGGGACTTTTATCTGGGCAACTGTTGTTATGGTCAAGCTATCAAGGTTCGGTTTATCTTAGCTCCCAGGTTCTTCAGTGTTTGCGCACATCGCAACCGGCTGAGCAAACCAAAACATATCAGTCTCTTGTAGTGGAACCGGAAAACGCCTTCTACTCGGTGGCCTCGGGCGGGGGGGGGGGGTTACACATTGGTGGATAACACGCGTCACCCCTTTGGCGGAAAGGGCAACGCCCTTTTGTGTCAGACAAGAACGCCTCCGACGTTCGGGTCGTCTTTGTAGAGATACAAATATCAATGCCATGCAAAGAAAATTCTCGCTTGATTTCACACACCCTTCTGTTGGACAGACGGGTGCGAGCGTAGGTTGTTCAAAATACTTCGGCGTGAGGTGCCCGGGGGCGGGGGGGGGGGGATGCCAAGGTTGCGCAAGCAAGCGAGTGTAACGTGTCGTGCATGTTGTCACCGCTTCTATCGAACGTCATTTCATTTGGTACACCTATTGGGTTGTTTTTGTGCACCACCCCGGGTCGCACAGGAGGAGGGACTCATGGTTTTAGTTCCTCCGGACAAGAAACTACGGTGGCGGTGCGTGCACATTTAACCTGGGACCAGCAGCTGTTGTTTCCTACCGATACATACCATTAACTCTGGAAACTTGGGCACGGTACGTCGCATATGATACCACACGCTGGACTAATTTTTAAGTCAGATCGATTGCTCGCAAAAAACAAGTAATCGTTTCCGCCGAGAGCTTTCTTAAAACGTGGAACTACGTTATAATAAAATATATCGTCGTGGAGGAATCGAGCTTCAAATCGGCCCAGGGGGTGGCTTGGGAATATACTCTTTGGGTGCATACCAAAAGCCGCAACCAAGCACAATGTTTCCCTATCTTGCGCCTCCACTACCCGTAGCTCTCCGTGAACAGCACCCGCGAGAGTAGTGTTCGGGCCGGCGAATCTAGGGTAGGTCAATTTCTCCTCACCATGTTGATGGCGCTGCAGATGCCGGTGATGGACATGACGCCGTGAGGCTGTGCCGCGAAGATGATCTTCTTGTCCTTCTCGATCAGACTTATCTCTTCCTGGGAGGTCTCCTCAACCTTCTCCACCAGCACCGGGAGAAGTTGGCGAGCGGGGGGGGATATCATGTTACTACCACAACAGATTACCGCTAGACGGCGGAAGCGCAGTAACCACGTAAAAACAAGAAGAGAGAGAGAGAGAACGACTTGTATCCTCGTGGGCATGAAACCACCTTCGCAAATCACAGGCGAGCATGCCGAATGCTAAACCCTTCTTTCGGTCCGACAGCGAAAAGTAAGCACTCCCATGTCTATACCGCAAGATACACAGAATGCGAGTTCGTATCTGTGGACACTGCGGACAACGCGGTTGTGAGGAAATATATACAATATGCCATTTTTGCTTCGGTCACCAAAACTTTTGAATCGACTCCACGTGCGCGACAGCTACAGCCGTCTTTGGTCATGAACAATCAGCAAGGCAAACTCGAACTTTCCGTACGTGTGGACGCGTGCGTACTTCCCGGCTTTCCCCAACACACCGAGAGGTACCAGGTGGACCGCCAAAAACGACAACACGGTGGCCAGCGCGTGCAAACGTCAATGGGCTGCTGCGTGTCGCAACCACGCAAAGAGCGTTGCACGGGTGCAATCAGACACCGCGACCTCGTGTGTGTGCAAGTGAGGCGCGGCAAAAAAAACGATTTTGCGAGAAACATTTCGCACGAACGCTCCGGCGGGCGAGACGACTACTATCTCACGTCCTTGGCGTGTCGATCACGGGGAGGAACAAAGAAAAGAAAAAGTGGGACGCGCTTGCACCAGCAGAACGCCTGAGGCCTTTTCAACTCCCCCCGAAACGGCACATTCGCACTCATCTCACACGGAGGGAGAGAAAACCAGGTGGAGCGGTGGGGAGCTGGGACGGGCCAAAGAATCCTTGGCCTCAAGGGGCCCCGGAAAGCTTGCTTCGCGACAAATCGCTTTGGTACTTCGCTGTGTGATGTGGTCCCACTTACATCCACTGTCTCAGGGGCTGTTGAATCCAAACTACCTCTCATTGAAACATCCAACCTCCGACGGGCAGGGTCTTGACGTGTCCAAATAAGGTGAGCACGCCATGGATGTGCACGGCTGTTTAGCATCACGACGATCGATGCTACTCCGTCCGCTGTACCTTGTTTGGTTGGTGCAATCTCACGGGTGATCCGCTTCGCTATACAAGAGCCGGGAACCAAGGGTCCGGCGAGGAGCTCTAGCCCGCCCCCGTGCGAAATCAACGGGCTTTTTGATCCCGCAAGCTTCGATAACCCCCAACCCCCCCCACTAACCGTTCGAAACCCCTCTCTCGACTAACCTCATCGAAGTCGTGGTATTTCAACGCGCAGCGAAAGAACCAGGTGTTGAGTAGCCAGGGAAGGGCTTTCGTCGGGAGCACCGCGGACACGGCGTAAGGAACGAGGGCCGCAGCAGCGGCAGTCCTGGAGACAAAGAAGAAGAGCAAGCCCACCTGAACACGAAAATCAACACGAGAGCGAATAAGGTCAAGGGCCAAGGTAAACTCATACCTTCTTCCACATGCAACCATCCAAATTCCGGAACGTTGAGATTAATCAGGTACATATTCCACGTGTTTCTGTGAAGACCACACATGTCGTAAGAATATTTCTGGCCGACCTCGAGTCGGACGCAGCTGACTGCAGCGGGTGGCAAAAATCTTCACCTTTCAAGCAGAAACGAACCGGCCGAGCGATGGAGATGCGACGTTGTAGCCAAGTCCAAACCTTCCAAACAGACGACGAGCCGAAACCCAGCGCGTGGGCTCCTCTACACTCTACATTCAGCAGCACACGAACACCGCTGCTGCAGCGAAAAGGGGTCGAGTGGGAACACAGGACCACAGAGTACGACAATACTCTCATGCTAAACAGCGCTACGGGGACGGACACCGGCGCACCGTAGGAAGCCAGAGCACCGCGTAGAAGTAGCAGGTGCTAAAGGTGGACACGGCCAGAGCACCCGCGAGGCGCTCGAGGAAGGTGCCGGACGTCGTCGGCGTGTACGTCTTCATACTCTCCCCCACCTGCCCCCGGCGTGGGCGTCCGAAAGACCTGGATAGAGCTTGCTGAGGAGGAGTGTTGGCGGGCTCCTGGAAAAACGGAAAGGGACGAAAAATTCGGCAACCGCAGGCAGTACCCAGGACGTGAACGGCGGAGGTCGAGGTTTTGAAAGCGTTGGTCGCGCTCTGCTGACAAGAAGAGGCACAGCAAACCCAAGCCGTGACTGTTTCGAATCTCCCCCTCGGGCACACTCATCGCCTCCGGGCGGAACACCTCGTCTAAGGAAAGGGTGAGACGGGGGGGGAAACCAGCCCACTGCACGTGGGACTGGGGCAACTCGCGCGGGTTGCACGCCGAGTACTCTCGCTGTTTGCAACTGGCGCCGTTGCATTGGATACAGGCGTGACTATTATCTACTTCTTATGAGATTGCAACCTTGCCGGAACTAAGCTTCGGAAGAATTGCGCGAGGACCCTATGTGTTGTACAGGACTCGAGGAAATTGGCTCCCGTGATAAATGATACGGACCTTACCATATGTACAAAGCAGTGGAGTGGCACGAGGGCACCAAAAAGGAATGGAAAGCGAAGCTGGAGTTCTTGATCCCTACCGTGCGACTGCCATGAGGATGTGAGCAAACTAGTGTGTACAGGGAGACGCCAGTTGCGTTGGAGGACCAGGGCCGAATCTTTCGGCGCGTCGGGAAACTTCTTCCCGCGTACACGGCGTTGTGGCACCACAGGCCGCTGTTCTCAGAGATACATCATGTGAAGCACACAGATCTCTCCGTAGGCGAATGTTATTGATTAAGGAATAATAAGACATACAGGTACTTTCTGACGCTATGAATCCATTGCTAGTCTGTCTCAGACTCTTTTCTATGATAGAGATGGTTTCGTTGTGTCATATTAAGAAAAAACACACACACACACACACACAGAAAGACTACCCATTCGAGATATACCCACAGTAGTCGAACGGGATATTTTGGTTTGAATGTCCCACTGTGCACAGAACCGAGTGGTTTCCAAAAAGGAAGGGCGGTTTCTAAAGCGCGAAGGCCGCCCGCCCGCTTCCGCAACCACAAACAAGGTTGTGTCGAGTAGTGCCTGATGTGCGGGCAATAGGCACTTGTGGTGCCCCATGGGTGGTGCCCCCTCCGTTGGTGTGTTTTGTGTGATCCATCCGCAAAGAGCGGGCCGGCATCGAAAAAAATCATGAAGATTCCCACCACATCATTTTGTTCCCGCAGCACCACCACATGCGATGACCAGCGAGCGTGCCGCAGCTCGCTATTATTGTCAATCATCAACCTTTCGTCGACTGCTGTTTTCCACGGTAAGAATAGCAGCTGTGCAACACAACACCCGTGGTTTCTTCGTTGGTACCTCGCACGATCCGTGACTGCTGGACGCGTCAGCAGGAAGCAACTTTCGTGGCTATTCAGTCAATCCACGATTCACAGAAGCACACACCAGGTCCTTTTCCTCTAATCCACTATGAAGAGAGCTCACCGCCGATTGTAGCTGGGCCTAGCACCTCAACCACTGGTGTTTGTTCTCAGGAGCAGCCGTCCCGGCGGTACGGAGTGTGCTGCCTTCTCGCTGGGGAGACTCAAAGTGTCCGCCAGCCCCCCCCGCATGCTCCGCCTATCCCCCCCCCCCTCGTTCCAGACTGAGGATCTTCTGTGTACCCCCCATCAAGGGTCTGGGGTCTGCAACTCAAAACGCACAAATTCGAGCAACACCGCACATCCTCTTGCTTGTAGCTCTCTGGCGTCAGGACTTGCTGGGGGAAGCTACCTCTCGCACGACCTTCAGATTCTTACGACGAGAGGGCACCTCGTCTGGACGGCTCGGCGTCGAAGGCGGTGAGTGTGGCGAGAGCATGATTCCTAGTTGGTTGATCTCGGTCTCTCTGTCCCGACAGCTCCAACACACCAGGAAGAGGCGACGCCCAGGCTCTCAGTTGACAGCAGCTGCTGCGGTTTTGTGCTCGGCCTAGATCGAGCTCTCTCGGCACGCGCGCGCGCGGGCGTGTCACGCGCTCAAGTTCCGCTGCGGCTTCTTCTGTGCTGGGCGCAGGAGATGAGCCTTTGCGAGAGAGCGGCGCCGCTCTCTCGCCGCTGGATCGAACATCAATCAAGGGGGGGGGTTGGGAAAGAAATTGCGAGACCCAATCGCACCCCCATGTTGGGTTTGTTCCGTGCCGTGTGTGTGCGCGACCTACCGACGCTCGCCGCGCCGAGCCAAACGCGTGCAACCGCGCGTCACCGGACGGTGTGTGCCCACGCAGGGAAGGTGTTCGCACCGTGGGACAGAGAGAGAGCTGCCCTTGCGAAAGGCTCAACGCCGTGAACGACCGAAAGAGCTTTGTACGCACGACAAGCCTCCTCAGCGAGAGGGCTTGTCGCCCGAAAAAATTAAGGCCTGTGGGTTTTAGTCTAGGCGTGAACCTTCTACGACACACCCAGGGTTGGGTTCTTTTGCACACACCCACACTGCACCTCACACACCTTTGTCGTGGTCTCTCTCTCTCTCTCTCTCCTTGTGTGCGCTTGACTTACAGCCGCATCGAAATTCCCATCATACGCTTCCTGATCTGTGCACAGATTCGGCAGCGATCGTATACAGCAGCAGCAAGCAAAGCAGCAGCAGCATTGTTGTGTACGTTGGTGTTGGTGCAGAGAGTCGTTGCGGACAGCACCGTACAGCAGGCGGCATCGACGACACACAAGTAGCAACGGCCCATCCCGGTCGCGCAAACGCCTACTGCTGCTTCTGAGCTAGACAGAGATGTAGTAGAGAGAACGGAGAAAGAAATGGTGTGATTTTTGCGTTGTGCTGTGCGGTAAGTTGCTGTAGGACAGCCGTGATTTTCCACCTCCCTTCCCAAACCCAAGAAACTTGAAATTTTTCTCTGGTAATACAATGTATGTAGCCACATATATGATAGTTGCAAGCGGCAGGCGGTATTCGCAGACGCTGTAACAATACACGATGGTCTCCGCCATTATGCGCGGCCGGGCCGTCTCGGCGGAAGACCACGCTTCGATGACCGGCGCGCGGAACTTTGTTCCGGGGATAACTCTTGTCTCCTCTATCCGCGCTCGCGCACACACACAGCAGGCTTGACGTCTTTTCATTGGTCAGCCGCTTATATGTACAGTAGCGCGGTCGATGCTACAGCAGTATGTAGTGAGAAAGACACAAACGCAGCATGTTTTCGCGTGGCTTGAGCTGCTGTGGTGTTGCTGCATCACCACCTCCAAGGGCTTTTTACGAACGGCATCAGCGGTAGTTACCTTTCAGCCAAAGCGGCCTCACATCGCTCGTCGAAACGTACCAATCCCCTCCGCCCACGGGTCTTCCGCTTGAACCGTCACATGTTGTCCTCTCTCTCGGAATTGTTTGACGAAGAAGAAGACATCTTGCAGAATACATTTTCTGTTTGGCATGTACGAGAAGGGTCTGTTGCTGCGACGACACACGTGTAGGACGGACCGATGCAATGCTTGCAGGGCCGCCATGTGGCGGGGTTGTTGGCCTGGCTCTCTCCACCAACGCGAGATGATGATGCTAACCTGGGCTCGTCCGTAGAGCGCCCGGTCGCTTGGTGTCCGCGCGCGTGGGCGTTGTGCCAACAACGCGTCTAGCTCCTCCGCGGTTCCTGGTGCCCATAGCAGTTGCAGGCTCAAAAGATACATGCGGATCATGTGTCACCATGTGCGCGCTCCAAAATATAAACATACCACAATTTCGAGCCTTGATTACTGCCATCCCAAACCAAGGGCACTGCGTACGCTCGCAAGAACGCTTGGGGCCGGGGGGCCAACCACGGACGACTTTTTGTTTCCTTTGTTTTGATCGGATTTATCGATACGCTTACAGCAGTGAAGGATTTTACCGGGTAAGATGCTCATGCCACTGGGGGAAGGATAAGGATTTTACCCCCCGGGGGGGCTCCGTGTACAGTCGTCATTCCGGTATAGGGGGGTGTGAAAAAGGCCCTGGACCCTCCTGTATCGCCCCCCCCCCCCCCTCTTGTACCGCAATAAGAGGGTACCCAACTACCACAGCAGTATAGAGGGTCGAGTCCGTGGCAACCGATTTAGAGCCCCTTATGTCGGTGCCACGACTCTATTTTACTTGAAAGTCATGGACGTGAAAGTCATGGACGTGAAATGTGGCCTTGACGGCAAAGCGTTTTCTGGCTTTTGGCCCAAGTCAAATCAATCACCCATTGCTCGTTGAGTCCGCGGCGTGTCGATGCGAGACAAAGATCATCCAACCCGCCCCACGCCGAGGGAACATTGTTCGCTGTCTGGGGTGCCATGTGGCTCTATGTTTCACCTAACCCTCTTCTCCCGATTGTGTCCCTCTTTCTCACTTGCTGCGGCTTTTGGCAGAACTGACGGCGACCTACCGTCCTCGTGAGCCTCGTCTGCCAACAGGCCGAGGCAGGCGGCCGCGCCGCTGACTTGGTTCAGGGGTGGGGTTTGATTCCTCGGCGGAAGAGACGTTTCGCTGACTGTGCGGCGTTGCGTGGAGGGAGGGTCGATTGTGGTTGTGTTGGCGAGGGCTATTGGCGACGCAGGGAGGGATCGGTTAGCGTTGGCGAGGGCTTTCGGCGACGCCGAGCATGGTTGAGATCATGGACAGCAGAAGGGAGGTCGAGTGGAGTCCCGACATGGAGCTGGAAGGGTGAGGGGAGCGAGGGAGAAAGTCGAGGGGATGAGGGATGGGATATGGGAAATTGGTCGCCAAGAGTCTGGAGGACAACACAGAGAGACAGGGAGGGAGAGGGGAGGACAGAGACAGGAGACCTTGGCCGAACAGATGAGAGGCACAGCACAGGCGTGTCTCCCGCGACAAGAACAGGCATCTCTCCACCTACCTCTGTTTTTGGTCACCTACGGTATTTCGTGCCATGCAAACACGCACACGGCCTCGAAATTTAGTCTTCACGCCGCCCTCCTCTTCCTCCTCCTCGGCATTTTGCAAAGCACCAGATCGGTAGTCCGTGCGGCACTATTGCGGCCGGTCAACACGTACGTTTTATGTGTGTCTGATTTTTTAACAAGTGTTGGCTGGTGCTGCCGTGACAGGGATGACGCGGAGAAGGCTGCCGCTCTCTTGCTGGCGGTGGCGCCCCGCAACCGCTCCTTCGACGCGACACAGAACCCCGAGGTATGTGTGCCTCCAGCGGTACCCGTCGCCCCCTGCAGCACCGGGATACAGTGGGGGACCCTCTACAAGTATAGTGCCGGGAGGTGTCCCGAGATTTTACCGGCGCTATTCGGAGTACAGAACGACTTGGCATTTCAATGTGTGCTGGCCGAAAACACTATACTGGCACTATAGAGGGCCCCCCACTGCATACCCACCATCACTCCCTTTGGTAGCAATACAGTCGTGTGCTTGTACGTACAACAAGAGAGACCCGTAGTGTGAGAGAGAAGTTGTTTGCGTGGGGACCGGGGGGAGGATGGTGGGAGTGGCTTCTCCCAAGCAGCACAACGATTGCCCTCCCGTCGCTTTCGGGAACCAACCTTTTGCAGCACTAATCTTCAAGCCATTGGCCAACAAATCCTTACCTACCCCCGTATATGCTCCGGCGGGAAGTGATATCGGTACGATAGATGCTAAGGACGACATTTTGGAACCACCTTTGGCGCGATGTAGGAAGGAACGATTGGTCATCCGTGATCGGCCCTGTGGGAACAATGCTCCGTCCTCTCTCGGGAACGCGCGGTCAATGGTCTAACCGCTAAGGCATGCAAAACATAAGAGTACGCCCCCGCCCCCCCCCGCCCCTAGCTCGGGTGAGAACCCGGCTTGCTCCGTCCCGACGTTGTAGGGATGCGGAATCAATGGTCGAATGACCATACGGCATGCACGACTACTATGAGTACACCCACCCACCCACCCACCCTCGTATTTTTCCTTCTCCGCGCCACTACACACTCTCCAGGGGCCCGGACCCGCGGGCACGACCGGTGGCGGCGGCGGCGGCGGCGGCGACGACGGCGGCCCCGTGAACGCGCCGCCTGCGCCACCCCCCGGCGGCGGAGGCGTTGCTCACGTCGGCACGGAAGGCGGAACGGTTCCGTCGGAGGGAGCCGGTGCTGGAGCCGCGGGGGACGCTGACGGAGGGGGCTCCGGGGAATCGGCTCTGAAGCGCGAGGTACGTCGAGTCTGTTTTTTTTTTGTTTTGCGTGTGCTTGTTCGTGACAAGTTGGCTTGATGGCTGGTTGTGGCTGTGGTGGGTGTGGCTGTGGTGGGTGTAAACGTATCTCATCTGGATGTGTGTCTGTTGTTGCGTACTTGTATTAGACCCACGCTGCCGTGTGGTTGATTGGGTAGAGGAAGGGGTGCGGTAATTGTTCCCTTTGATGGTTTTCCGCCTGCTCTCCTGTGCCCTGTAAGCCCCAACCCCCGCCTGTCCCATCATTTTTTTCCTTTGTGGAGTTTTGCCGCATCCTTATCTTTGTCAAAAGTATATGTATTGCGTGTTTCTTCGCCACAAAGAAAACCGCACAGGATATGTCGGTGTTCCAAGTCACATCCACGCGCCCCTTGTCCCGCAGAGAGCAGTGTGTTGTCAACATATTCGACTCACTTGAAATTTTTCGCCACTGGCTGTTGTGTTCGTTTACGGGCCTCTGCTTTTGTCAGTTCGGCGGGATGTTGAACGGAGCGCTGCCGAACACTTCGTATCGCGACTCCGCTGCCGCCGCTCTGTCCGGCGGGGACCCAAGGGCGGCGACCGTATCGACCGCCTCGTCGCCGTCTTCGTTATCGTTATCGTTGTCGTTGTCAACATCCCCTCGCCCCCGAAGCGCCTCCATCGGCGGGGGGGCGAGCATGCGGCTGCAGTCGCTCGCGGACCTCGCGACTCAGGTATTTCCTTTTTTGAGTTGCATGTCTGCTGCTGTTGGTTGTTGTCCCCGGGGTAGATGTGGTAGGCATGGTTGGGAAGAGCGGTGTGCGTTGTCCCGCTGCCCATGTGCCGAGAGTCTACTGGCGAACCTTGGATGGAAAAGAGAGTACCTCGCTACAGGATCGATACACTTTACTTCAGTTGGTGGTGGCTATTCTCCGGGGTATACAGCAGTAGTGAGTGGTTTTTCCTTTTTTATGTTGTCCCCCTGCTGTCGTGCCAAGGTTCACTGGCTAACCCTGGTTGTGGTCTCTTTTTTTTGTTCTGTTTTTTTATTCTCGCCACACAGGTGTAAGTCGCGTTGCTGTTTTTCCCCGGAGGGGCTGCTGCTGCTGCTGCTGCTGCTGCTGCTGCTGCTGCTGTACCACAACCGAAATGCCCTGCCGTTATACCACCCCCACGCCTTCCCTCCGTCCGCCCGCCAGGAACTCCAAACCATGTGCGACGTCGACGAGACCGACACGGCGGGTGCGCACGGGCACCGCCGCCACCACCACCACCACCGCAGCCTCAGCAACGGCAACAGCCAGTCATCGTCCGCTCGGACCCCTCCCGCACCCGCGGGCTTTTCTCCGAAGCGGCACCTATCTCCCCGCCTTTCCGGCGGCGGTGGCGGCGGCGGCGTTTTTGCCCTGTCGTCGGCAGCGGCGGCTGTGGCATCGTGCTCGTCGCCGTCGCCGCCAGCGCGCGCCGCCCCCAGTCACCACCACCACCTGCGGGAGAGAGGGGTACCCCGCTCCCGCCACGAGCGGGCGGAGGAGGAGGAAGAAGAGGAGGAGGAGATGCGCGCGGCCGCCCGGGCCGGCGGCGGGCGGGGGAGGCGGCACCGCCCCCGGTCGGTGTCGATGCCGGAGGGGATGGAGCTCCAGGCCAGGGTGAGTTTTTTTTTTATCTTGTCTCGCTCGGACAGTGTGGGGCAATCAACGTGCTGTAGTATTTTCAAGAGAATTTGACGTGCTGAAGTTAGTATTAGGACGTTGATTGCACGGTAGCAGGCACAGGGGTGTCCTGAAGAGCAGGGACGGGGGCGGTTGGGGTTGTGGGGGTTGGGGATCCGTTTTTCGGTGCGTCTGCTCCTGCTGGATTGTTGTGGCTGTGGCTACCGCTGTCGAGCCGCGGATTACTCTGTAGCTCGTTGCGAATCAGATGTTGGAAAATCCCCCTCCCCCCCCCTCCAGCATGTCTCCTTATGCCTACTTTTTCACGCTGTGGTGTTTGTTGGTTCGTGGGACGACGGACAGGCGTGGTCGGGCGGCTACTCGTCCGGCAGGAGGAAGAGCGGCCGGATCGACTCCATAAAGGAGGAGCTCGAGGTAACCCTTACCCAGAGTCTTGGCCTTGCATTTGCCGCTGCCGCTGCTGCTGCCGCTGCTGCTGCCGCTGCTTCTGCGATTGTTGTTGGCCCTTCCTAGATGGACGACGTGTTGATCCGGCTGAGGTAGATGTTCGGGTCGCGTGGGAAGGCAAGCCCCCCTTTCAAGTTTCGCTTAAAATTCGGGCTGAGGGATAGAGTTTCGTCCTTGCCTGCACGATGCCCCGCCCTCCCCACAATTATTTTTTGTTGTTCGTCCCTAGGTTTGCCTTCTCGATCGCAACATACCCACCACGCGGCAGGCTTACCCTGATCTTTGTAGCCCTGTGTACGGTTTTGTCGTTGGG